ATATAATCATCTTCTCCAACGTCACAATCATCCACATTTAATTTTTTATTACCTGGTAAAACAACTGACCATCGTTTGTTTGAGGGATCCTCTACATAAAAAACTTGTTCAGCTTGGGATGCAAGTATAAACGGATCATCACGATATCCGGATCGAGTAAAATCCACTAATGTCACTCCTGTTGGATCACGCTGAACACCTCTTCGAATATCGGCCCACTGACACTTGAAAAGTGAAAAACTTCTGTTCGTGTAGTTCAACTCCCATATATCCTCAATTTTTCCATAGTAAGACATTGTTGCATAAAGAGGATTCTGATCATTTGAACTTGCATATTCTGTTGAAGATGCTACCACTGATACCCCATTATTCTGTAATACAGATTTGGCATCCTGTCGGGTAGTATAAAAGGTGTAGCCATTGATATCGTATGCTTCATATGAATCAATTTTGCATTTAGGACCATAAGCCAACCACTTAACATCTTCATCAACCTTATTATAAACATCATTCCTATCATTGAAGATGAAGTCTTTAAACCAAGATGAAAACATACGATTGTGTTGTTTAGTCATTCATACTTCACTTTTCAACGGAAATTGAGTCTTCAAAGCATTCATATGTTGTTGCACATATGGAGAAATATTTTCTAAATGATGCAACACGAGAAGATGGGCCTTTTCCACTAACTCATTGTCCACATTCTTTAGTAATTTCTTTCCAAGTATGCCTTTTCCTTCATTCCTATCATCATGTCTAGACTTTGGAACACCTAATGATTCAACCTTCATCAAATAAGGTGTGCAAAATTCAATGACTTCTTCATCAATTACACCCCTGATTATACTTCCTTCAGGTCGACATCGATTTTTCACCTTTGATTTCAAATATCCCATATGTCTTTCCATTCCGTACATGTATCGTAAAAATACAGGACCACACATCTTGACTTCTCTAACCAGATGTACCACAAGATGCACCATAATGTCAAATAGTGAAGGTGGAAAATACATTTCAAGCTGACACAATGTAATATCCACTTCAGCTTGCAACGCATCAAGTTTCTCAGGGTGAATTACTTTCTGACATATGGAATTGAAGAAGAAACACAACCTCATGATCGCACATCTAACATGATCATGTAAAAGCCCTCGTAGAACAACAGGCAACAAATGTTGCATCAGAACATGATAATCATGAGACTTCAAACCAACCAATTTCATATCCTTCAATGATACGAGATTCTTAAAATTTGAAGAATACCTTGAAGGCACTTTGATGCCATATAAGCTTTCACAAAAAAATCGTTTCTCAACCTTTGAGAGTATGTAGCAACCTGGTGGAAGATAAAAACCATTTTCCCGCGGTTGTGGTGCCAATTCTTTTCGAATATTTAAATGTTCAATCATGTCTTTTCGGATATTAATTCCATCCTTTGTCTTTCCGGGAACATTCATAATGGTCGAAATGATGCTGTCACACACATTTTTTTCAATGTGCATAAGATCAAGACAATGCCTCACAGATAAGTCCTTCCAATACGGAAGTTCCCAAAAAATAGACTTCTTCTTCCACAAACTCTGTTTGTTCCGCTTATATGGCTTACCAAAAACCGTGTTCAAATCTTTGACCTTATCATATATTTCTGATCCACTTAATACACGTCGAGGAACACCGTGTTCAGCTTTTCCATGAAATGCCTTTTTGAGTGCACGATAACGATGGTTTCGTGGAAGAAATCTTCGATGACTCATGTATACATTCTTTTTGCAATTGGGTAATCGCAAATCAAGAGTGTCATCTTCACAAATGGGACATGCCTTTCCACCTTTAACCGTATATCCAGAAATATTTCCATAAGCTGGAAAGTCATTAATAGTGCAATACAACAAAGCACGCAAATTAAAATTTGTTTTTGTGTGCATGTCATATGCTGTAACACCCTCATTCCACATAAGTTTAAGATCATCAACTAATGGTGCGAGGTACACATCAATATCATTACCGGGTTGTTGTGGTCCCGAGATAAGCAGAGACAACATTATGTACTTCCTCTTCATGCACAACCATGAAGGCAAATTATAAATAACCAATAAAACTGGCCAAGTACTATGTTGACTACTCAATGTGCCATATGGATTCATACCATCATTGCATAATCCAAGTCTCAAATTCCTGTCTTCTTTGCCAAAATCAGGATATTTCAAATCAATTTGCCTCCACTGTGGTGCATCAGATACATGTCGCATGTACTCATCTTTTTTCCTGCCTTGAGCATGCCACACTAAGTTTTTTGCATCTTTCTCATTCATGAATAATCTTTTAAATCTAGGAATGATAGGAAGATACCACAACACTTTGGCAGGTGTTTTGGTGTATTCAGCATCAAACCCAACATTAATACCCTTCTTCTTCTTATAACGTGAAGCGTGACACTTTGGACATTCATTTAGGTTTTCATATTCATTGCGGTACACTATGCAATCGGCTGGACATGCATGAATCTTCTCCCATTCTGTTCCCATTGGACACAACAACTTTCTAGCCTTATAGCTCGTATCGGGAAGTGTATTTCCTTCTGGAAGCATTTCTTGAAGCAATATCAGCAACTCAATGAAATTAACATTACTCCACCCATGTTTAGCTTTCAAGTGAAATAATTTGAGAACAGCAGATAGTTTGGAGAATTCAGAACCCGTGAATAGCGGTATATTGGCGGCCTCAATCAAATTCTCATAAGATTTTGGTTGATAATCAAAATTATCATGAACATCATTCAAGAGTTCATCAATTCTATCTTCATTTACATCATCATCCGCAACACCATCATCAATATCATTTGAAGTAGTAGTAATATGAGTAGCTTTACGCTTTAGATGACTAGAAGTTGCTCCAGAAAAAAGGTCTTCGACATCCACACGATTCTCACCATGGAATGTCCATGTCATATAGTTTTCTCTAAAACCCTTCTCAAATAAATGCTGAAGAACTGTGTTCACGTCATTCTCTCTTTTAATGTTACGGCACATTGAACAAGGACATAAAATTCCTTTTTGTCCTTGTTGCTTCTGATGCGCAACAGCCACTTTCACAAACTCATGAACACCATTGAAAAATTGAGAAGTATTTCGCAAACCATACATCCAGCTACGATCCATGATTAACAACACTAAACTTTATCGAAAAATAAAAAAATAATAATAAATTATTGCATACTTTTTTTCTTTTTAAGCACACTTTTTATGTAAGATTGCAATTGAGAGTTATGCTAATATAAAACAACCTCTTGGAAGTGTTTTGCTGCTCATTACAACTATTCCAAAATTATATTACTCAAAATTAATTAAAATAAAAAATATTGAAAAAATTTATTATTAAAAAAATATAAACACCTGCTGTGAAATGGGAGACCAATGGCTGGAGTAAGCGGACCGGAGCTCGACGGCGGCAAGCGGACCAGAGCTCGACGCACACGACCCTCGACGGCTGCGGCTGGAGTGAGCGGCGGAGATGCCTAGCTTCGACAGCAACGAAGGTGAGCGGAGGAGCGTTGTCGGTTGGGCTGGAGTAGGTGTGACGGCGGAGGTGCGACGGCTGCGGCTGGAGTGAGCGGCGGAGTAGGGTGCTGGAGTAGTTGCGACGGCGGAGGTGCGACGGCTGCAGCTGGAGTAGGGTTTCAAACTGATTGCTAAGCTGCGAACTACCAGGTCGAAATAAACTGGAACAGATATATGCGGCGCTTTTTACATAGAGGCGCCTCCTAAAAAACTAAAAAAAATATATTTTTCTAATATGGCGCTTTTCATTACTTAGGCGCCGCAGAAGCGTTGATAAATTTTAAAATTTTATTTAAATTTTTCGGTTTGCCGCTTCATTTACACTTTTTCGTTCATGCGCTTCTAAATATCAAAATTTAATTTAAATATTGGCGGCGCTTTTATATATAAGCGCCGCAAAGACCCGAAACATTAAATAATTAAAAAATTAAATATATATTAGAGGCGCTTAAAAAGAAAAGCGCCGCACGTCGTATATGTTAAAGGCGCTTGTTTTTTAAGCGCCTCAAATGACGTGACGCAGTTTAACAGATTTTTACTAGTGTATAATTAGAAAGTTTGGGCTAAAATGGGTTGGGTTCGGTTCGTGAGCTGCCTTCATACTTTAATCCGACCCAAATGACTTTTATTCATTCATTTATATTATTTTAGGCTAGTAGACCTCAATAGGTCGATCCTAAAATGTATTGGATAGTCACCCCCTCCAATATTCTGGGCTCCAACCATTTTTCGTTTCTATTATTAGTAAATGGTTCGAAGAGTCTCTCGTATTAATACTTTACCTTTTATTCGACCCATATATTCATATATAACTTATTTCCTTATCCTTGGGCTTTTAATTAATTTAACGTGATACCGGAATATACTAGTTAGTCCCTCCCCATTTTTAGGGTCCGACACACAATATATTTGATCGATATCATTTTACTCGGTTAATCATTTCTTGTATGATTAAAATACTTGTAACTAGTTTTTAAAATGAATAAACATTCATGAAATCAACTAGTCATCCCCATCGAAATAGGTATTTTTTTTACTTTCAATTAAATTTTAATATTAATGGATTAATAAATCCACGTTCACATTGGGAGCGGTGTCACATGGGGTACATGGTTTTTAACATTAAATGATGTTTTCAATTATTGAAATGGTTATAGTTTCAAATTAAATAAGATCAAACTAAACCAAACTAGATCCAACCAAACAAAATCATACATAGAACAAACATGTGCTAGATCAGATCAATTCAGTCCAAAGTTAAATAGACGAGATCAAACAAGATTATAAAATTACAGTCAAGTTAAAAAATCCATTATGTTACGTCTCATGATCATGATTGCTTTCTCGATCATGATCATGATTGCTTTCTTATGATTGAGTTTAATATATACTCCCTTCATTTCTTAAACTTTTGTCATCTTTGAAATTTTTGATGAATCATATGATCTTGCTCGGATATTCAATACAATTGGTCCAAACAATATAAAAGAGGAATAATAATTACATATACTAGCTGGCCGAGAGACATATCTAGCTAGTAGATTAAAAAACTACTAGCAATTCAGCGTGGCCAGGATTTTAAACTAAAAAAAGCGGCGGCTAATTCATACACAAAGCTGCGCTGCTACAAAAACAAAGTTGTATGCTACATATGATAATGTACACAACAAAACGTACACGACATAATTAATGTTCTTTGGAGGCGGCGGCGTCCTCGCTACCGTTGGTGTCGCTGCTGCACCGAAACTGCAGTCTCTTGGCGTTTATGAAAGCGGTGGCTTTGGCATCAATATGAGGGTCAGCCACCCAATTGAGACGGTCTTCGTCGCTCCTATATATTCTGTACACCTTCTCCTTCTTTACAACCGCCTCGTCCCTCTCGGAATCTCCTTCATCCTGTCGTTCCTTCTTTTTCTTCAACTTGAATAGTCCGAAGAGAGCATTGCCTGATTTCTTGGCCATTCTTATAAATTCAATATGTGTTTTGTGTATGTGTTTTTTTTTGCTTGACAAGGTTGTTTTGGCGGTTGATTTGTATATGTGGTTGGTTGGGCTTGGGTATGCCTTATATAGTGGAGTGGGAGAGGGAGGTTATAATTAACGCGGTTGGAATGAAATCACTAATTCCGAGTATATGAAAGTATGAAACGAGTCAATCATTAATTAATCCAAAAAAATGAAACGAGTGAATAATCGAATCATTCAATTATAACGTGGACTGTGGCCGGGCATATACTTAATTTCAAAGCTTAACCATATCAACATTGGTCGGGCAGGGCATCGACGTTTAGACCTAGAGATCGACTATGTTGCGAGAATACGTCATATGCTGCGTATGCGAGAACAACATGCAATATGACATCTTCAAAAAAAAATTAAGAGTAGATTTTATGGTACCCATAAGGTACCATATCTGTGTCCACATGGACCAATTGGAATGTTGCAGTTGAATTATTTAAATTTAAATTAAAAATGATATAATGATGTGGACCAATTAAGTGAATGATAGGTACGGTACCCCATTTTTTAAATTTGTACCGGATTTGTCACCAATTTAAGATATGAGTAGAAGGTATATTTATAAATAATAGTAATAATATAGGGTTTAATTAGCTGCAAAAATATATAATTCAGAGGATCACAAATAAAATACTCCGTACTACGTAATAAAACTATCAAAAATTAATAATCACAATAAAATTTCAAATGCTAATTACCTCATACATGTATTATAAGCAGTCAAGTAAAGGAAATACGAAATTAAACCATGTACATTCAAGCATTGTAATAACATCTGAATCGCTATTTGTGTTTAAATTAAAAGTTGTTAACAAGATTGATTTCAATTCAGACTCATCAAACGCAATTGTTTAATTTTAGAGGTAAAGTGAATTGAAACATATTAAGTGTAGAAAAGAAGAATATAGGTCACTACTTTACTCGATAAGAGATTAAGTTGAAGAACGAGAGGATTGTTGAGCGAGGAGTTGTGGTTGCCTATGTGGCCATTCTATTGTGGCCAGGGTCATGTTTGAAATCAGGGTTATAAGGTTAGATACATGTATTTGTCCATGGATACATGTATCGGAAATATTTACATTTTAAAAAATAAGTCCGATATTTTTATAAAATTACGAATACGGACTCAATACGTACATGACGTGTATAAGTGAGTATCAGTATCGTATATGTATCAGATACGTGGATACAACGTCGAGGTGAAGCATCTTTGCATCATATGATATTAATTGGTTATGCATAGGGAACACTCGCGGGATCACATTTTATTTTTAACATGACTGGCCCTAAGAAATTTGGAGCCTTGTGCAACAAAACAATACAGACCCTTTCAATACAAGTAAAAAATTAATGACATATGTTATGATACATTTTATTAATTAATAAAATTAATAAAATATCAGAATAAAACTATACAGTAATAAAATAAAATTAAACTAAAAGAGATATTTGTCTTGCACATTTAGATACCAAATCATTTACCAAGCTTTCTTTCAAGGTCAATTATTTGAGTTATTATTGTAATCTCAATTGAATACAACTAAAACGTTAAAATTGATAAAAATAAAGTAAAAATTGTGTGTTGAGCTTTGTACAAAAGAGAAAAACATAAGAATTACAAATTAATTGATTAAAAAAAATGCCAGTCATGGGCGAGTGAACACCTTACACTCCCTCAAGGGCTTCAGGGTCGGTTTTGGTTTTTAAATTACCTCACATTTATTAAAACTATATTTTTTCGAGACAATCTAATCTCTAATACTTCCTCCGTCCTAGAAAGATTGGTCAAAGTTGATTTTCAAGTGGATTAATAAAGTAAAAATGGTGTGGTTGAAATTTGTGCAGATGAGAGAGAATTAATTTTAGCCACATATTCCTACTTTAAATGGAAATGACAAATGTTTTTGGAGTTAATTATCAAAATAGGACTAAAAGTCATTCACTTTTCACAAGTAGGACCAAAAAATGAACTATGTTTGCATAGGACTAATTATGTGTACCTTGGATAATTATACCCTTATAGCTATTAAAATGTTTTAATTCCTAATAAAATAATAAAAAATAATAAAAATTCATAAAAAATACTAAAAAATTAAGAAAAACATTTCGATATTAAAAATTTAATTAATTTATTTTTCAAAAACTTAAAAAAATTAAAAAAAAATAAAAATTAAAAACTCAAAAAAAAAATCGCCGCCGCCTCTGCCACCTCAGCACCACCACCTCCAGTCAGCAGGGGAAAAAATGCCAAGTTCATTACGAATGCTATATTTATGGCAGAAAACAATGAAAATGTTGGCATTCGAAAGGGTAATATGTCACTTTTTTGGCATTTTCAGAAAAAATGGCATTTTTCTTGGATAATGGCATTTTTTTCATCGGCCGGAGGTGGTGGTGCTGGGAGGTAGTACAGGCGGTGGGAAAGGCATCCATATTTTTTTAAATTTTTTTTACGGAGTTTTACTATTTTTTATTAATTTTTTTAAAAATAAAATTATTTAAAAAATAAAAGTTTTTGAATTTTTTAGTTTATAAAAATTTTATAAATGTTTTAATTATATTTCTACGAATTTTTGAATTTTTTTCGAATTTATTATGAATTAAACATTTAATTATGGTTTTTGACTATTTTTAATTCATATTTAATGGAAGGGTAGCAATGGAATGCAAAAATAGGTATGTTTCCAATAGGACTCATATGGTCCTATTTTGGAATAAAAACATAGCAAGTCCTATTTTAGGTTTTTGCCATAGTTTTAGTCCTATTTGAACTAATTTCTAATGTTTTTGGGACATCCAAAAAAAGAAATTTGGTCAACCTTTTTGGAAGGAGGAAGTAGTATTTTCTTGATAGTAAAAGTTATGGAATAATATTCTTGAATGGAAAGAGTTTCAAACTTATCTCTGTTTCACAAATCTCCGTTACCCACACAATACCACATCTTACGAGACCAGTCAGACTACATATAATCAGGTCCGATTGCAGTAGACGAGATTACACCAACTATATTCAAAAAAACTCCGAAGATTTTATTTGAACAAAGGACTACGGTATCATTATCCAATGATAAGATATTTACTCCGTATTATTCTTTCGGTCATTCCTTAAAGGGATTGCTTCTACTTTAATTCTTGATTTTATTTTATTTTATTCCTTGTGTTTTCAAAGTAATCTAGCTTTTCAGTAAAAAAAAATGTAATCTAGCTTTTAGTCGGATAAGTGCGTAGGATATATTGGCTAACATAGCTTAATACAATTGTGATTACAGTCTTATCTTGTAAATCTGAAATTTCCTCTGTTTTAGGACAAACTAACAACCAGAAAAGTTTCTAATCAAAATGGCAATCCATTTAGATGCTACAAGCTGGAATCTTGACTAATTTAAAGAATTTTTTTGAAGGAAAAACCGTTTATATTTATATTAATCATTAGCATTCAGATGGTTATTACAAACTCAAAGAGATCAACCCTAACAGCATCTTTATGTAATCGGTTAGTACTATCAACTCTACGGCTACACTTAAAAACGATCACCCATGAAAGAGCAATACGAATTGCTAACCACCAAATGAGTGTGACACAACAATCACTGACCATATAGATCCTGTGAATCACATAATATCCAGAAGAATTGTCCATCATTACTGTAGAGGAAAAAGAGGCAAATAAGCCCACGTACTAACCAAAAAGGGCAAATAAGCCCTTATATACGAGACTCTCTCCGGCCGTCGTCATTTGGGATGGTTCCCGATGGAAATTTTTGATGCAATTTTTTGAGCATATTATTCATTAAGTCTAATTTACTCATACCAAATTTCAGATAAAACTTCAATCGGGAAGACATTCAAATGAATTCTTGAAAATAACTGCGCAATTAAAAGCGCAATTATCCTCAAAAATTTATTTGAATGTCTTCCCAATTGAATTGTTAGCTGAAATTTGGTATGAGTAAACTAGACTTAATGAATAAGATTCTTAAAAAAATTCATCAAAAAGTTCCATCAGAAACTGCCCCAAATGGTGACGGCCGGACAGAGTCTCCTATATAAGGACTTATTTGATCTTTTTTGGTTAGTACGTGGGCTTATTTGCTCCATTTTCCTTATTGTAGACTTAGAACTAATAATGACATTAACGAAAAACAGAGCAACATAAACAAACATAACAAGAAAATAAGACTATACAAAATAAAATAAGTGATAAATTCTTCAAGCTTCTTCTTGGCAGTTTTCCCGATCGCATCAAGGCAGCGGTTCAGGAGGGAGGGCTAACCGCTGGTATGTCCTCTCCCTTGCCCAGTCCTTCGCCGTTCCATGTCTGCTCGTCGCCCGTGCCGCCTCCACTACCGCCATTGCCCTCCACCCATTTTGATCCGTCAAAAACTATTCCTTCGATGTCTTCCTCAAGTGCTGGAATGACCAACACTGCTCTAGATTATCCGTAGAAGCCATGAATATTATCCTTTCTTGAACATGCACTTGATCAAAATGCAAAAGAAAAATTGATCGACAAGCGAGAGAACAACCCTAGCTTTCGAGAAGTGAGAGAAAGACCGCACACGTATATAGAGGTAAATGACTAATTTAAAGATTAAAAAGTAAAAATATAATAAATCATTCAGTTTACAAAAATATCAAAAGTTTTCTTTTAATATTTCTTAAAAATTATTTGTTAAAATGTTACTAAATCAAGCGCAAAGAGAAGAATATAGAGAGAATGTGCACGCTAATTATATTTAAAATAAAATGCATCAACACTAAGGTGTGACTACATACTTTGTTTTAAAACACACCGCAAATATCAATTGATTGGGTTTCGACATCAATTTTCTCTCACTTAAATAAATTTAATGCACGTTGACCGAAGAATAGTGGACGGAAACCTTTAAATGAGGCGGAGAGAGTATGTAATATTAAATTAGTTTTGTAATTAATAATAAACTAATTATGTTTTATGGACTAATATACCGCCTACAAAACCCTAGTCAATCTCCTACTTCGGTCTTTTTTCCAACCCTAGTGTCTAGCCTCCCAAACACAGCATGACGCACAGCCACATGTCGCTGCCGTGCCACTGCTGTTGCCACCCCTCCACCTACTGTTGCTGCCCCGTCGCTGCCCTGCCATACAGCCGCCGGCTCACCACTTCCGCCCAACAGCACATACATGCTCACCTCCGCCGTACAGCCCGCGCTTGCCTCCTCTGACCAACCCGTGCTCGCCTACTCCGTCCAGCTCGCACTCGCTGCCGCCTTCGTCTAGCCCACGTTCGATGCCGCCTTCCAGCATGCGCTCTCCGCCGTTGTCCCGCCACACGGCCGCCTCCTTCTCCTTCTCCCTTTTTATTTTTGTATTTCTTTAAATTGGGTTGGCAATTAATGTTACCAAAGAATGGCGTTGGACCGCCCCTCCAGTTATTCAAATTCTTCAACCAAGGCGGCCGAGGTTGAAGGCGAACCCAAAGTTGAAGATGAATCCTAGTTGAAGACGATTGAAGGCTGTGTGCAGTGAATAATTTGTGTGTAATGACGTGAGTATCACAAGAAATGCAATGATTATTACAAGAAGTGCAATGCTATGACCTTAAATAATGTGATTATGATAAAGGTGCAATTATCAAATCTAAAAAAGGAAATATAAAATTTTAAGATTTTTGTAATGTCAGGACATAACTCTCGCATGGAGTGCATTATATTTAACTAAACGTAAAAGCTAAAGTTATCAAAACTAAAGAAATGATAAACTGAAGCGCCATAACTTAAGTGCATGAAGTGTAGTATATGTCGTGCAGTGAACTCCAACATAAAGTGCAGTAATAGTCATGCAATAATACCTCCATGAAGTGCATTATTTTTAATTACTCGGACGAAAGTAGTGTACAATGCATATCTTTTAAATAAGGGTATTTCGGTCCTTCCACAATTTAATATAACGAGAATTTCTGTCTTTTTTTAGTCATATTTCGGGATAAAAACAGAACTAGTCACAACTCGGGAAACTCAATATGTTCTAGTTGTATCCCGGGAAATTTCCCTTTTTAATTAAATTAGGGAAGAAGTATCAAATAAGCCCTCAAAGTTCCATAAAAGTGCAAATAAGCCCTTTTATAGGAGGCTCTGTCCGGCCGTCGCCATTTGGGGCGCTTTCTGGTGGAAATTTTTGATGAAATTTTTCGATTAACTTCTTCATTAACTCTAGTTTATTCATACCAAATTTCAGCTAAAAATTAAATCGGAAAGACAGTCAAATAAATTTTTGAAGATAACTGCGCAGTTAGACAGCGCAATATATTTCAGAAAATCATTTGACTGCCTTCTCTATTGAATTTTTAGCTAAAATTTGGTATGGGTAAACTAGACTTAATGAAGAAGATGTTCAAAAAATTTCATCAACTAATTCCACCGGAAACCGTCCCAAATGACGACACCTAGACAAAGCCTTTTGTAAAAGGGCTTATTTGCACTTTTTATGAAAGTTCAAGAGCTTATTTGATAGTTCTCACATTAAATTAAGTACAATAGTATCATTTCAACAGGTAAACCTGAATGTATACATGGAGTAAAAATGGTAGGCATATAACTTGATGGTACTTTTAGGATCTGAGCAGTTAGGATCGTTTTTTTGTTACGTTCATCGAACTTGGCAACGGCAGAGAAGTTAACATCAGATATCCTCTGTAATTACATATAGATAATACTCCTGAGGAAGCTTATATTAGCTTAAATAAAGTTGAAAACTACTCAATTTGTATTATACAATATACTACGTATACAATAAGCATAGAGGAGCATACTAGCTGATCGAGAGAGCTTGCTAGTAGATTAAAAACTACTCTACTAAGCTAGCAAGCTTATATTAGCTAGCTAGGATTTTCAACTAAATAAAGTTGCGGCTGCTAATTTAATTTGTTCATCATAAATTAAAGTTACATGCTTTCTATGACAATATATATACACAACCAATTCAATTCAAACGCAGTGGCGGATCCAGGAAATTGAACTATTGGGGGCGGAACAGAATACAATGAGATATCTAAATAACAAAAAATTTTAAAACAATACATAAGAATTTATAGACTAAATATAAAGTATATTAAAATACAAAAAAACTTTGAAAGGTGAATCACAATTGGTGTCTTCAAGAGCAGAGATAAGGGGGCTAACCGGGCCCTGGTCCATCCTAAATTTCTTTGAATTTTTTATATCAGTCTACCCCAAGCTTCGATCCTAGCTACGTCCATGGGTGTCTCTGAATTTGGCCACGTCCTTGAAGTATTTACTTCAATACTAAAGTTAGTAAGTTACTGTACAAACACAATAACACTTCAATAGATTATAATATTTTTTTGAGAACAAATTAGGATGTACTACTATTTATTATACATCTCTTTCTACTCCATATAAAGTAAACAAGACAATCAATCTTAATTCTATTTTCATCGTAATACTATTTATAGGTAGTTGCAAATTTTCTATTGTTAATTTTAACTTACTAAAGTTAGTAAGTTACTGTACAAACACAATAACACTTCAATAGATCATAATTTTTTTTTTAGAACAAATTAGGATGTACTACTATTATTATACGTCCTTGGGTGTCTTTGAATTTCAACTTTTGAAAGATATTTTATAATTTCATTTGTAACAATTCCAAATACATCTCTTTCTACTCCATATAAAGTAAACAATACGATCAATCTTAATTCTATTTTCATCGTAATACTATTTATAGGTAGTTGCAAATTTTCTATTGTTAATTTTAACTTACTATAGTTAGTAAGTTACTGTACAAACACAATAACACTTCAATAGATTATAATATTTTTTTGAGAACAAATTAGGATGTACTACTATTATTATACTTCAATTGTTTATTTATTATATCTAAACAAAACATTAAAATGGCTTGATCATCAAATCTACACATAAGCAAATTAACAATATAACACATACCGAGTACAAAATAGGAAGTATACAATAATCATTAGTCAGCAAATTACTGAAATAGTGAATACTTAATAGACTTACAAGGGAAAGTGATAAACACACTTTTGCAATTTATGAGGAGCGGAGCTCGATTGGATTATTAAAGCTGAAGTATACAGGGTATTATTTCAGCATTTGAGCATTGCCGCATTGAGTTGTTGGGGGCATCTCACTTTTTTTATTGGGGGCAATTCTATTGGTCTATTTTTTCCCTAGTATAATATAGAGGATTAGTGCTAGTTTATTGGGGGCAGCTGCCCCCCTTACCTAAGCTGTGCATCCGCCCCTGTTCAAACGTACGCCATATAATTAATTAATGTCGTCGTTGGTGTGGCTGCTGCACCTATACGAAAATATAATTGTGGAATAATGGCTCACCCTATTGGGTGCCTTGACCTTATATATATAATAAAACAAAGTTATAAAATATTACATGGAAAACCCTAATTATTACATTATTACACCCCCTCAATTTGTGGAGGGGAAATCACGTGCAAATTGGAACGTAAAAATTCAAAACGTTGACTAGATAAATTCTTGGTGAAGATATCAGCTAACTGCAAGTCTGCAACTGTGTAGGAATATGCTTCACCACAAGATCTCCATGTGCTATTCGTTCCCGAACAAAGTGATAGTCGATTTTAATGTGCTTACTCCGATCATGCTGAATAGGATTAACTGCCAAGTAGGAAGCTGAGACGTTATCACAAAGGAGCTGTACTGGTGTCGAGATAACAATACACATATTTGCCAGTAGTGATCTGATGAAGAGTGTATCTTGGAGGTACAGTATAAGCAATGGCCCTGTATTCAGCCTCAGTAGAGGATTTAGAAACTGTCGGTTGTTTCTTAGAGCGCCATGAAACCAAATTGGAGCCTAGGAAAACCGCATAACCGGTGGTAGAGCGTGAGCTGTCTGGGCAACCTGCCCAATCTGCATCTGAGTAGGCCGTAACAACAGAAATATTTTTTTCAGCTCTCAGCCATAAACCATGTGTGTTTGTACCCTTCAGATACCTGTAAATCCTCTTAACTGCCAAAAGGTGAGTAGTACGTGGAACATGCATAAACTGAGACACAAGGTGAACAACATAAGTAATATCAGGTCTAGTAATAGTTAGATACTGAAGAGCACATACCATACTTTGGTACTCAGTAACGTCAGATAAGAGTTCCCCATCTGTGAGAGAGAGTGTAGTGCGTGAAGGTAGGGGGTACGGACAGGTTTGACAGTATGAAGATGAAAACGACGCAAAAGATCAGATATATACTTAGCCTGTGATAAGAAAAGACCTTTAGGAGTGCATTTAGCTTGCACACCTAAGAAGAAGTGAACATCCCCCAAATCTTTCATTGCAAATTGTTTAGATAAAGTGTTGATGACAGATGAAACAAATGGAGCAGAAGAGCATGTAATAATAATAATATCATCCACATATAAAAGAATATACACCACATGCGACTCAGTACGATAAACAAACATGGATGAGTCAGACTTGCTTTGTGAGAAACCACGACTTAGCAAAAACCCACTAAATCGATGAAACCAAGCTATATGAGCTTGTTTCAAGCCATAAAGAGCCTTTTTTGAAGGCGACAGACATGATTAGGATAGGAAGGATGGACAAAGCCCTGAGGTTGACGCATATAAACTTCTTCAGTTAAGATGCCATGTAAAAATGCATTTTTCACATCTAACTGACGAACAGACCAGCCCAAAGAAATAGCAACAGATAACACAAGACGAACTGTGGTAGGTTTAACAACGGGACTAAAAGTTTCAGTAAAATCAATACCAGCCTGTTGTTTAAAACCTTGAGTAACTAAACGAGCTTTATGCCGCTCAACAAACCCATCAGAACAGTATTTTGTCTTATAAATCCACTTACAACCAACCACATTTTTCGTAGGGTCCCAAGGTACCAAATCCCAAGTCTTGTTATAAATCAAAGCATTAAATTCATCAGCCATGGCAGCCCGCCAAATAAAACTTTTATTTGCCTGTGTAAAACATGTAGGATCATCCGGGGGAGACATAACACTTAAGGTGAAGATAGTTTTGGGTTTGAAAATGCCATCCTTAGCGCGTGCGCGCATCGGATGGACATTGGTGGGTGCAGGTGGGGTGGGGGTACTTTCTGCCGAGGACAGGGAGCTGGAGGTAGTACTGGGGGATGTAGGAGCCGAGGATGTGGACTGGGAGATAGGGCTGGTAGGTTGGTCAGAGAGGAGTGGACTGGTCGGTGGGGTACTAGGTGGACTGGTTGGTGTTATGGGAGTGGCTGGCGTACGGGAAGGGCTGGTTGCAGGGGTTAAGAATGTGGGTGACGGCTGAGAAGATAACGGCAGAGGTGAGGAGTGGGGTAGATGTGCGGGTAAAGCTGGACATGTCTGAACTGAGGTAGAAAACCATGACAGGGGTAGTGTATGGGTGGAGGAGGAGGGATGGGACGCCAATTTAGGGTAGGAAAAATATTTTCATGAAAAATAACATCCCGACTCACGTACACTCGCCCCGTAGAAGGAGAAAAACATCGATACCCTTTATACCCCGGAGCATATCCAAGAAAGACACAATGTATAGAGCGCGGTGAGAGCTTATTATGCGAGACAGCAATGAAATTTGGAAAACATGAGCAACCAAACACCCGTAAAAAATTATAATCAGGCAATTTATTAAAAAGACGTTGATATGGAGTGTCCCCATTCAAAATTGGTGTAGGCAAACGGTTAACAATAAACGTGGCGGTATAAAGAGCATTTACCCAGAAAGTACTAGGAATAGAAGAATCAATTAATAAAGTCCTAGTTAATTCTAGTAAATGCTTATGTTTGCGTTCAGCTACACCATTTTGAGCAGGGGTATTAGGACATGATTTGCGAAATAAAATGCCTGAATTAAGAAAATGTTGACGAAAAACAGAGTTATCAAATTCACCTCCACCATCACTCTGAAAAACTTTGATTTTGACATTAAAAAAATTTTCAACCAGCTTTTGAAAATTAATGAAATGAGTAAAAACTTGGTTTTTCAGAGTGATGGTGGAGGACAAATCCACCATCTATTTAAATCCAGGTATATCTAGAAAAATCATCAATAAAGGACACATAATTATTAAAACCAAGATTGGAAACAACCGGCGATTGCCACACATCAGAGTGAATAAGTTGTAAAGGAGCAGTAGTATCATGAGTAGCATCAGTAAAAGGAAGTCTGTGGGACTTGCCCAACTTACAGGAAACACAATCATGAATAAAAGTAGAAGAACTAGTAATCAATTTATTTTGCCTAAGAGTACTAAGCACTCGATCACCACAATGTCCTAGACGCTTGTGCCAGACTGGACCAGGGACAATTTGGGCTTGAAAAGCAGTAAAGGGATAGACATGGTCTTTATTAGAGACCTGAAGAAGAAGCTCCCCCGTGTGATTGTCCTTAACAGAGAAAGAGTTTTTATCAAAAACAACTTGACATGCATTATCCGCACACAATTTTTGAATAGATAACAAATTATATTTAATGTGTGGGACATGAAAAACAGAGTTAAGTTGCAGCGGGCGACCATTGGTGAGTAATTTAACGTCACCAATATGAGAAATAGGTAATTTTGTACCATTTACAACACATACTTGATTCGGGCCAGTGTAAGGAGTTTTAAAAGACAACATACTTGCATGAGGAGTCATGTGCGCGGAAGCCCCAGAATCAGGATACCAGACCGAGTCATGTGTGTCACCAGTGGGAAGGGCCGCAAGTGCTGGAGTATATTGTGCGGTGAAACGAGAACAAGTGATAGCTGAATGACCTGGAGAGAAGCAGAGTTGACATACAACTGGCGGAGCAGGTGATGAATATGAATTCTCAACAGACGGAAAACTTGTACTAACATTATGAGTAACAAAAGTAGGAGAGTGATTAGTGAAACCATAACTGAAACAAATATTACTTAATACTAAACCTGTGCCACCAGGATATGAAGGACCACGTGGAGGTGGAGCCTGCTGCCCGTAAGGAACCCCATAGACCGGATAGCCGCCAAACTGCTGCTAATAATGCGAATGATAGCCTCGTCCGCCGCGACCACGACCACCCCGAGATTTGCTACCTCGGTTACCGCGACCGCCATTTCCCCTAGGTGGACCTCCACCTGAACCGCGAGGAGCAGAACCACGCCCAGGGGCTGAAGGCGTAGCCGCAAACGCCTGATGCACCGTAGAAGAGTCCTGGGACTGAATAACAGCATTCCTGTGCTCCTGAGCTTGTAGAATTGGCCGCAAAGATTCAAGAGTAGCATTCCCAGGAAAATAGGAGATAGTCGTGATAAGAGATTCATAGTCACGACCCAACCCCAGAATGGCATATTCCATTAACTCACAGTTACTAACAGGAGAATTAATCATCGCAAGTGCATCAGCCATAATTTTAATTTACAGTAAATATTGATCCATAGTTTGGGAATCCTTCTTTTTAACATGAGATAAAGAACGCTTAAGTTCAATAGACCGAGCAAAACATGCAGACATAAATCGAGTCTCAAGGCGTTCCCAATTAAGATATGAAAATTTTAAATCATACACCTCCATTAAAATATCCCTAGCAAGAGTACCAAACAGCCAAGACCTAACCGTCTGATCTATTTTCAGCCAATGATGATAATCCTTATTAGGTACCTCACGTCTGGCAGTGTCAACAACAGTGGGTGACGGTACCCGAATTGAGCCATCCACGATCCCAAGAAGAATATGAGAGACCAAGAATGACTCAAAGTGGGTACGCCACGGGAGATAATCTTCCACATCAGATAGCTGAGTAGTAACAATGTTAGTCACATTTGGTGTGGAAAACACCAATTGAGACGAGAGAGCTGCCAAAGACGTGGAAGGAGGAGTATTACCTGCGGCTACCGGATGAAGAGCTTGCGGCAACGGACTGACCCCCGGCTGACCAGAGAACGTCAGACCGCATAAAGGGGCTAGCAGTACGCCGACGTCAGAAGCAGGCGAGGCCAGACTCGGAGGCGGCGGCAGAGCAGTGGTCAGCGTCCAAGAAGATGGTTCCGGTACATTAAACAATCTGTAGGAATCAAACGCTGGAATTTCAAAGAGCCGATGTCGGAGAGAGGCTACAAGCGGAGACCAGGGTGGCTGCACAGCATGTGGCGGCAGGGATGGCAGCGTTGTAGGCGGCACCGCACTGCTGGAAGCAGTGTCGATTGAGGAAGCGAAACCAGCGTCGTGACTGCTAAGCAGAGGCTGCACCTGAGGATGGGGCGCCTGAGAAATCGGAGGTCTCTGCAGCGGCGGATGCACCTGGGAGGGCGGCGGCGCAGTGACGGCCGTAGGGTTTCTGGCGGCGTGAGTTTGAGCGCCGGTCATGTTGTCGGAAAAAAAAATTAAACCCTAGCTCTGTGATACCATATACGAAAATATAATTGTGGAATAATGACTCCCCTATTGGGTGCCTTGACCTTATATTTATAATAAAACAGAGTTATAAAATATTACATGGAAAACCCTAATTATTACATTATTAGCACCGAAACTGCAGTCTCTTGGCGTTGATGAAAGCGGTGGCTTTGGCATCAATTTGGGGGTCAGCCACCCAATTGAGACGGTCTTCGTCGCTCGTATATACTCTGTACACCTTCTCCTTCTTTACGACCGCCTCGTCCCTCTCGGAATCTCCTTCATCCCGTCGTTCCTTCTTTTTCTTCAGCTTGAATAGTCCGAAGAGAGCATTCCCTGATTTCTTGGCCATTCTTATAAATTCAATATGTGTTTTTTTTGCTTGACAGTATGTAGATGACAATGTGTACCTACAAGGTTGATTGTATATGTGGTTGGTTGGGCTAGCGTATAGTATGACTTATATAGTGGAGTCGGAGGGAGGTTATAATTATCGCGGGTGGAATGGAACGAAATCAGTAATTCCGACTCGGTGAAAGTATGAAACCAGCTAGTGAATTACTTGTATTATTCCAAAAAAATGGAACGAGTGAATAATCGAATAAGTAATAGACCTAAATAGCACTAAGACAATAAGGAAGTTCCAAAATAAGACTTCTTGTTAATTTATTCCTCAAATAGGAGTTATTACTTGATCAAACTTTTCTTATTCCAATTATACCCCTCCTGCAGCTAGCTTTAACTTTCATTATTTTCCCTGTCAAACTTCTTTTCCTTTCCTGTAGACATTTCTCGACCCGCACACCTCTACCTCTTCCCACTCATTTATTTCCTCTTCTCTCCCTGTCTTTTCTCCTCCCAACACTCATCCATCTTCAAATCTCATCTTCAATTCCAGATTTCATCTTCAATTTCTTCAGCTCTGATACTAACAAAGCAAGATTTGGACTGATTTTTTCTCCTTAACTTAGACCATCAGCGGACAACGACGATTATGGTAAGTAAATTCAGATCTCCTCTTCTTCTTTCTCCTCCTCTATTTTTGCGGATTTTATTATAGAAAACAAAAGATTCATGAGAAGAGACGGACTAGACCAAAACCTCTTCAAAAAGGGCATTCCCTTTCCAAATACATGAAATGAAAGTAAAAAGAGACAAGAAATAAAAGAAAAATTGGGGGGACCAAACCTAACCTAATTTTAAATACATCTGAAAAAAGGCAAACCAAGAGAGTCCGCAATAATAGATTTTTTAACACTTAATGGCAAATTACGGATATTGTCAAAATAAATTTCATGTGATTGGGCTATATCTATATGGGCCAAGTAGTGAGCAGCCCAATTAGCATCTCTTAAGGTATGACCGAATGAGACCTGCACATTTCTGGAAATCTCACGTATCTCTCCAGCTAAGTCTTTCCATCTCCCAGAGTAGCTCACATCATTAAGTAAAGAAATGGCATTTGAAGAGTCAGATTCTATCTGAAACTCACCGTAACCGTAGTGGATAGCTTTGAGCATAGCAAATCGTAGTGCTAGGAGCTCAGCCTCAAGGACGGATTCCGCTGAGATTTGAAAGGATAAAGCAAAAACCAGCTCGCCTGCTTTATTCCTCATGAGCGCTCCACCACTAGCTTGTCCAAGAACAGAAGAAGCATCCACATTCAACTTGAGATTTCTGGTAGCTAGGAGTAGGATTCCTAAAATCTAGATGAATTAGATTTTCAGACCGAAGCAACTCTAGATCAACCGATTTCTTTAGTTTGTGTAAACTGTGAGACAATGAAGCCAGACAGGTTCTGTCTTAAATGTGCATCAACGTTTTGTCTCCTGCTTTAATCCACCAAAGGAAAAACATATTCCTAATAGTGGTAGGATAGGAAATCTTGTTAATCCCAAAAATTCCCATAAAGTATTCCCAGATAGGTCTAATCACAAAGCAACGAGTAGGGTAAACTACAAGATTATATATAAGAAGGTTATCTGGAATAGGTATCATTCTATGTAGAAGTTTCCATTGGACAATTCTTATCTCCATTGTCTGATTTTTGTGCCAAATGTTTCTGCAGGAGAAAGTTGAGGATCCTTGGTTTCTGATTTCATCAAAGGCAAATCTTAGTGAAAATTCACCCTCCTTACCAGGAATCCATATTGGCAAACCAGACCCCCCGGAATCTGTAAGACACCCCCTACTATTTATACTGCATATCCTTCTCCAAATATTTGAATCTCTAACTCTAGGATTCATGTTACCTCCTCCTCCTCCTCCTACTCCTACTCCTCCTACTCCTCCTCCTCCTCCTCCTCCTCCTTTCTCCTCCTCCTCCTCCTCTTTCTCCTCCTCCCCCTTCTTCTTCTCGTTCTTCTGCTCCTTCTTCTCCTTCTTATCCTCCTTCTTCTTCTTCTTCTCCTTCTCCTTCTCCTTCTCCTCCTCCTCCTCCTCCTCCTCCTCCTCCTCCTCCTCCTCCTCCTCCTCCTTCTCCTTCTCATTCTCCTTCTCCTTCTCCTTCTCCTTCTTCTTCTTCTTCTTCTTCTTCTTCTGCTTCTTCAAGATTTTAAATTAGTTTTTTGAATTCTACAATGTTCATTTCATAAATTACGCATGAATTTAGATTTGTGTAATGCTCATTTCAAAATGTCATATCCATGTATATTGGTATAATGCTCATTTAAAAATTTTCACTACTGGGTTGTGGTTGAGGTTGTTCAAGAATAAGGGGCGGTGGTTCAATTGCAGGCTGTTCTTGTTGGTAATTGAGTGATATTCTCCCGGGTAGACAATAGTGGTGCCCGTCACCAATTTGGTGATCCAAAAGGTCCAAAGGGAAGTTGGCTGAGGGTATTTGTGCATAAATGGTATTAGGTGGATCGATTAACCAATTGTAGATATCTACCCTATCGGGTGTTTTATGAGAAAAAATAATATCTTTGGTATTTTTCGGGAGCCATGATGTGCAAACTAGCTGTTTAGGAGTAATGGGGCCTGGGTCTACAAAGCCATAGAGTGTAGCTAAATGTGTAATCAAGCCCCCTACACTAATAGTTCCTGTGGAAGTTGCCACTGTGTTGAAGTGATCCCAGAGAATTGAGGCAACATCCACTTGATCCGGACCTGGTAAAATAGCTTGTCCAAGAATACAAACATCACATACCCTTGTGTGATGGTTATTCGGTCTTCCGAGAAAACAGTTTGATAAGATTTTTAAGAAAATTCGGAAGACCGGATGTTGTACACGATTCACACTAAGGTGTCTGAGCTCGACATCCACCTGCCCTGTCATCCTTTGCCACAATTCCACACCCACAAAAGTGTCATGTTCACGTTCTTCATTGAACAAGGGGAGGCCAAAGTGTTGGGCAAACTCCTGCTTGGTCAATGAACGGTCCTCATTCAACAAACGAAATGTGATTCTACTTTCAGCATGATCATCAACATTTGCTATTTGCTTAAATGAACTAAAATATTCGTAACCCAAATGTGGGTAGGTAACATATTGCATCTCAAATATCCTAAGCATCCCAATGTTTGTGAAAATTTCACGCATAATCACATCAAGCATGAATGACACTAGCGTAGTAATGGATATGAAACGGGATTGTTTTACCTCCCGTTTGGTTTGCTCTATGAAGCGCTTTTTGTGGACCCCGGTTTCAAATTGCACACTCTCAAAAATGGGAACGGGTGCAATAGCTTGACCAGCCCTTGAAGAAGATTCTTTGGACTTTTTAGGAGCCATGAAAGTAGATTTTTTTTGGATTTTTTTCTTGGTATTTTCGGACTTGGGTATGGTTGGGTTTGGAACTTTGGATTTTTGGTGGGTTTTGGGTATTTTGGGGTTGTGAGAGTGAGAGGAAGACAATTAGGAGAAGAAATTGGGTTTTGTTGTTCGGACCTTTGGGTATGGGGGGTTAGGTTTTCGGATTTCCTTTGGGGGTGGATTTGGGTAGGATTTTTGGGTAAAAAATGGAAGAAGGTGTTGAGGAGATGAAGAAAATGTGTTTAAATGATGGATTTGGTAGAGAAATGGGGAGGAATTGAAGCTTTGATGTTCGAAAATGGTGGAAATCGGGGAGGTTTTCGAATTAGGGAGGTGAAATGTGGAAGAAAGGTGGTCTGCCCGACCCCTTATGGGGATTTTTGCCCGTTCGCCCGGACAGGTGGGGTGAGTGACCTGGTCGGGTGTTCTTTATTTTTAAAATTTTTATCTTACCGGGACGGGTTTGCGTTCCAGAGAGTGTAGAGAAAAACGCCCGGCCGGGTGGTATATAAGACCCGGTCGGGTGTTTTGAATTTTTCTTTTCCACAACTGCCTCGCCCGGGCGATTGGCTGGGTGCTGTGTTTTATGAATGGACCCGACCGGCTAGGGTTTTATACTCGGCCGGGTTCAATCCCAGGCCTTTTTTTTTTGAAAAGGTTTTTTCTCACATACACACAAAAATGGAAATAAACAAAATAAAAACTTGAGTTGCCTCCCAAGAAGCGCCTTATTTAACGTCGCGGCACGACGTTATTTTTATTTTGTTTTCTGTTTTAAGTGGGATCGTGAGCATCCCTCGTTTCATTTTCAAAGGCCATGTTTGGCCATGTTTCAATTTTTTCTTTGACCTTTTTCAGTAAGGTCGAATTTTCTTCTTCGTCACCACCTCAAGTGTAGGTGGTTTTAATTTATTGTGTGGCGATTTCATCCATTCGCCATTTTCCAAAACTGATTTTTGTTCAATTTTAACTTCTTCAAACATTTTGGTTTTGCCGCCTTTATCTTCAAAAAAACATGTGATGCTCGTGGTTCAAAAACATTCAAAGAACAAAGAGACTGATCTTTAACTTGTTTTTTCGTAGAATCAAAGATATTAAATTCTACTTTTTGGTCATCGAACTCTAAAGTTAATGAACCATTAGATACGTCTATTTTTATTTTGGCGGTTTTCAGAAAAGGTCTACCCAAAAGGATGGGTGTTGTTTGATTGTCATCCCCCATTTCAAATACGTAGAAGTCAACAGGGAAAATCAAGTTTTCTACTTCGA